TTGTGTAATAACAACAAACATTATGAGCAATCAAGGACAAGATCAGAATTGTATTCGTGGGGGTTCGTGATTGAGTATGAAAAATTATGCTCGTGAATATAAAGTATCGTGAGGCTTCCCGTTACGATTTTTAAATCGGTGTTGAATTAGAGATTCGTCTTAGGATTAGTTTGGTAGTGTTATAGATTTTTAAAAAATTGTTGTTAGTTGTGCTGAAAAAAAATGTTATAAAAAATATATGAGTGTTTGGTAAACTGTAATTATACAAATATTGATTCCAGGAGTATTATGAAAGTTTTATTAATTGTACTTCAAGATGATTATCACACAATTTAAAAGTTAAAGTTGTTTTTAAATTACTTCTGATTTTGACTGTAAATTCTTCAAAAATTCTTTAAGAATTACTTTTATAGCTTTTACCAAATATAAATTTTAACTATAAGAAGTTAAAAAATTAATTTTAAACTTCAAAAATCACTACCAATCGTACCATTAATATATCGTAATAGATGCTTCTGCATATGAAGTGATTTTTTTTTTTCCTTCAATCATGATTCAGCATTTTTAGTCCCATAGAAGATAAATGCTTGATTTTCTAGACTTTTCTCTTTTTCTCCCCCGTGATGGTGGTTGAGCAAAGCACATTATAAAATTAATAAAGGAAGCATCCTCGAGTCTTCTCTACCACGTGCAAATCGTTGTTATTATAAATTTATAAATATTCTCTCTGCAGGCCCACACTCCTATGCAATTTTTAACTGACAATGTACCTAATTAAACTGACACGTTTTAAGCTAAAGATGGGACTGTTCGATCAGATTCATCAAAACTTTTCCATAAAAGAGATAGGCTTTGATTCAGAAAGCTTGAAAAATCTTGTCTTATATTGGAGTTTAAACCCAAATTTTTAATATTTTTGTGTCTCGGATACGAGCAATTTGATTAATTCTTTACCATTTTGTAATGACGCAAACATGTGCACTGTCTAGGAAAAGCAACATCTTCATTGTTTAATACGTTAATTGTGCCACCAATATTGTGCAGAGGAAACATCCTCTCTTATTCATTCTCTTGTCTCCAACAGATGTAGAGGACAGATATCACCGGTGTGCATTTCTTTAGATTGAGTATAATTAAGGCATTGTTTGTTTTCAATTTGAATCCCCGGTTTTCTTCAAGGACAAGTTCTATAAAACCTTCCGAATTTTTGACATTGAAATGACATACACCCCAAATTTCCTTTTGTGTAATCTCTTCTCTATATATTTTGAAACTTTACCAAATTTTCTAATTATGTTAATTTCAACGATACATTAAAATGTTTCATTAGGGGAAAAGATTAATTAGTTACCCTAACAACAATAAATAGGAGATTTAAATAGCAATTAAAATTTTTTTCATACTTCATTTTGCTTTCAATGTACCTATTTGTTCCTTCCCTTTAATGGCAACGAATAACATCATGAAGAAAGAAAACCATACCTTGATCATCCTCATCTCAATGATCATTAGAATCAAAAGTTTCAATCACTAGCCACTATCCACATACATGATGTTGTGTGAGCAATTTCTAGAGCACCAGGGACGATCTCTCATATAAAGCATGCAAGGTGTTTATTAATACGGCGGGTTCAGTGGCCGGGAGGCATCAGCTTGCGTTGCATGCTAAGAGGCACTCGACTACTCAAATTTAAGGGAAAGGAATTCAAACTTTCACCTTATGGAGAAGTCAAGTGTGGAAATTACTATTAAATTTTGTTGCAATCACACTTTTTAGCCATTTTTAGAATAGTATTGTTACTTTTTTAGGTACGAAAAATACCGTATTTTAAAATTTTGCGGACGTAAAACCATATCAAATGTAGTTTTGGCATTATATGGAGAGCTACTTATGGTTTTAGAGAGCGGTATTATAGAAGATTGGAAAGAAAACACATAAAAGAAATAAAATGTGAGGGAAATGAATGAAGTTAATTTTTCTTTATAGTGTTTGGTAAAATGAGAGGAAAGAAAACATGTAATAGTCTAAATGACTATTTTATCAATTGTTTAATATTAATTTAGATTTTAAAATAGAGGTACAAAAGTAAATTTAACCATCAACGAGTGGATTTGAGTTTTTCTCTTAATATTAGAGAGATAAAAAATTATGGACCCCACTATAATTTTTTTCCATCCTATTTTATTTTCTCTCCTCTCTTCATTCTTACCAAACAACTAACTCTATCATTTTTCATCTAATGATCCTTCTACTCACTTCCTTCCTTTCACTTTTCTATCCTACCAAACATAATGTTAGTCTGAAAGGGATCTTTCGGCAGTTTTTAGAGTGATCATCAAGTAAAGTGAGAAAGGAGAGAAAACTAAAATGGAGTTGCAAACTTCTTCATCTTTCTTCATTTAATGTCATTGACTTGGTGGTTGTAGACTTAATTAATGATCGAATAACTATAAATATTGTTCTCTATATGTGTTTCATTTTTCTCTTCCTTCTAATTTTGTTCTTTATTTGTTAGATTCATATATGTTCAACAAGTATTTATCTTCAAAAAAAAAAAAAGCAAGTATTTATTTTCCGCAACACCCTTAAAAAAAAACATATGTGATGTGCACGTGTCTAATTCTGTCAAAAAAACTAACGGAAGGGAGAATTATCTCACAATTTTGAAGTAAAGGATAGTATTGAATCGTAATGAAAATTCAAGAACACATTGTTACAATTCTAAACGTTTGGAGAAAATTTATAATATTTAAAGGGCTTGGCTCGTCCCCTAAATAAATAAACAAATAAAATGAAGAGCTTTTTTTTTTTTTTTGTTGCTAATTGATAAAATGAAGATCTTTTTTCTAGAGTAAAAATAGGAACAAAGAGCTTTTTTTTTTTTTCTCTGAAATAGAAATAAAGTGATTGGTTCAATTACTTGTCGTGTTTCTTAGCCGTTACAAGATTTCCTTACATAGCTTCAAAGAATATTTTGAAACGATCACCCATTTCTTTTGGATAAAGGTGTTTCATCAGTTGATCAGACTTCAGAAAAAATAAAATTAACACACAAAAATTTACTAACAACAAAATAACATTTCTTCATTGGGATTATTTTTTTTTTTTTGTTCTTTGAGGTTATTTCTTCATTGGGATTTGATAAAAAAAATTGCTAAATTACCGAAAAAAAGCTAAATATTGTTTGAGAAGAAAAAGGAATGACATCTAATCGTGAAAAAATTATTTCCTCACATTTTCGTGAGGTAAACGTGAAGAATTTGGAAAGGCGTATGATTTGTAGTAAGAGCATGCTCAATTTCTTTGATAATAAAAAACACACGTGGAAAATTGGATACCTAATAAAATATGGAATAATATATGGCATAGTTGTAAATTATTTTATCAAAAAGAAAAATCTCATAACGCCATTATATTTACAATATATTCATCGTACTCGAATTTCCATTAATGAATTCATTGAATTCCTTGAAAAAAAAAAGAGAAACAAAAGAAATAATTTAATCAATTTGCATAAAAGTATAGAAAAGAGGGGAAGAAAAAAAAAGCAACGGCTACATAAGCAAAAGATGGGTTTAAATACTAAAATCTAAAATTTGACTAAATACAACGGAACACGTCGTTTGTCGTTCCGTTTTTTCCACAAACGAGACACAAAGTGGAATTTTTACGTAGTACGTACGAACAAAGGAAAATTAGTTGGAGCCCGTTTATTTTCTGTATTCATTCCTGATTCTGAATCATGATTCATGATTTTTTATAGTGTTTTCTCTCATAAAAAATACACGTAAAATAAAAATAGTTCTAAATCATAATTCTGAATACACGAACCAAATGAACACTTAGATTAGATTCAACAATCGACCACTTAATGCCTATCTTTTCAGTTAAACAATTGATTGAATACGGGATTATCTTCCAAATCTAAAGATTTGTTCAAATTAGTTTTAATAAAAAATAATAATAATAAAAAAGAACCCCAATCATGCTTAAAAAAAAAAAGAGCCAATCCAACTGCGAAGCAACTAAGACGGCACGTGGGGTTGTTACTTATGGGTGTCATCTTCCGTACTCGTTGACGTGTTAGAAAAAGCCTAAACAGTGACTTGCTTCCACATAATCATAGACATTTATAATAATAAGAGAAATATCCTCACCACCGTGACAGTATAAAAATACCGACTCTGACCCTTAATAAAGTCTCGTTTATTTTATCGATTTGAGTTTTCAGTTTTAAATTTTTACAATTTTTAAAAAATATTACATCTAATTTTTTCTGTTACAGTTAAAAACTCTTAAAAAATATCATATCTCAATTTAAATTAAAAATTTAAATCTATAAAACGAACGAGATCTAAGAATCTGTCATAGTTCGGTAACCGCCTCGTGTCGGATGACATATGGCCGTTAGTGTATCACCTGTGCGCCAAGCATACTGGCTGTACTGCCAGCTTGTCAGTAATGATCCGTTTTCCCATTCCACGACCGCTCTTGTCGTTTTGTCCACCTCAGCACTACGATGTTTTTTTTTTAAATAAAAAAATTAATATTTGAAGCGAAACAAAAATCCGTCACGTGATGCTATCCAGCCTGGTTGAGTCAAACTTATCCTGAAATCCCCCCCTTTCAAATCTCTTTGCGATCTCTCCTCTTTTCAGTTTGTCGCGATATTTTTAATTTTCCGTCTTCAGAGGAAAAAGCAAAATCGCTTTCAGTAACTTCCATAACTGCACAGGTCAAAACGGGAAACTAACCGTCCCTTCGAGAAGTTCCAAATTTCCCGAAATTTTAGTGACGGATTCTAAAAAATCTGCGCTGCGTACGTGGCGTTGAGCGGAGGTAATGTACAGCTGTATACTATGTAACGGGCAACCGAGCACTACCGCTTACCGTAACGCTCATTACCCGATTCGGTTAACCTGCTATATCTGTTACCCTAACGCTCTCTTTATAAACCACTCCTCTCCTCATTCTCACACGACAAAGAGGCCTCACCTCTCTCGTCTCTCTCTCTGCACCGCCTCTTCCAGTTTCTGTGAAAAATTTGTAGGTTCTTCTTCTTTCAACATTCGAGGTCGTTACTTTTTTCTAGGGTTTCGTTTGATTAGATGGATTTTGATCGAGGATCGACAATGGAGTCTTCGCAGAGAGATGATAAGGTAAAGGGACCGTGGAGCCACGAGGAGGACGAGTTGTTGCAGAGTCTCGTGCAACGATACGGCCCGCGGAACTGGTCGATAATAAGCAGATCGATTCCCGGTAGGTCCGGCAAATCTTGCCGGCTCCGGTGGTGCAATCAGCTCTCGCCGGAGGTTCAGCACCGCCCGTTCTCAGCCGAGGAGGACGATATCATCGTCCACGCGCACGCCAAGTACGGCAACAAGTGGGCGACGATCGCGAGGCTGCTCAACGGCCGTACGGACAACGCGATCAAAAACCACTGGAACTCGACCTTGAAGAGGAAGTGCTCGTCGGCGATCGATGACGGCGTGATGTTGCTCGACGCGGAGCTATCGATTCTCCGGCCGCGGAAAAGATTAGCGAGTGCGCCTCCGGCGTCGTTTTCCGGCCTCTGTTATAGCTCCAGCAGCCCTTCCGGATCTGACGCGAGCGATTCGGCGGCTCCGGTGACGTCTCTCCCTCGCGTGTTTCGGCCTGTGGCGAGAACCGGCGCGATCTTGCCGCCTTCCACGCAGGTCGAGTCTCCGAGCCAAAAGGACAACAAAATCATCGTAAACGACAGCTTCAGCGAGCCGTCGACTCTTCTCACTCTGTCTATGCCTGGAACTGGATCCGTCGAGCGCCCAAACCGTGACTCGGATCCCCACCGAGAGGTCAAAACGACGTCGGCGCAGCAAGAGAAGAAGAATGCGATAAGCTTTGGACCGGAGTTCTTATCTCTGATGCAGGAGATGATAAGGAAGGAAGTGAGGGATTACATGGCGGACATTGAAAAGAACCTCGAGGTTTCGCGCAGTGAAGGCGTGAGAAACGTCGGGGTTAAGCGCATTGGAATCACGAAGCTCGATTGAGAAACGGTCTTGAAACATTTTGAAGAAAGTTAATACTAGAGAATAGGAAATCCGAATAGGACTTTTGATCGGTTATTAGAAAAAGGTTAAGATTTCAGAAGAGGCCAGAAGCAAAACTCTCTGTTTTCTTGTTTTTCTGATTTTCTTTCCCTCCCGGAAAAAAAAATAATTTTGAGGCTGTACATAAATTAGAGAGGACAGTTAAAATGTGAGAGAGAGGGAGAGACAGAAAGACAGAATATATGCTCTGGAAAAGTGGAATTTTTTTGTTTGCTTCTTTTAATTTTTTGATGAAATTGGTAAACTATAAACACAATGAGAAATCGTCAGGCGTCAGTTCTTTAAGCGATATTCGCAAAAATAATTTTTCCGTCTTTTATTTTTTTATTTTTTTTGTGCTGCTACCTACATTCGATGCATAATCACACAAATCAGTTCTTTAAGCGATATTCGCAAAAATAATTCTTTCACTCCTTTTAACCATTTTAACTACGTATAAAAGGGCGTAATGAACTTTTTAATTTTGGACAGCGGAATATATTCGAATTACAAGAAACTTGTAGCTGCAGATTCCAAACCATCCTTTTTGTCCAGCGAGGAAGCAGCCAAAATGCATGACGTCATGATCCATTATATTATACAGTATGTATTGGACGGCGATAGTACAACTTTTGAACGACCCGCAAATTTTCGGTGAACCGTTGAAACGTTTGTTGGTTGTTGCCCAATATTCTCCCTGATTTCCCTCGTCGGTCGTGTATCCGTGATAGATACGTAACGGGATACTGTCGTGTTTGTTCTGGATTTGGCCAAATTTCATAATTGGAATGTAAATTGTTATATGGGAAAATGTGCGCTAACACGTCGGACGATAATAGCGTTCTATGTGGCTCTATGTTTGTCACGACAGATAACAGTCAATGTCTGGGCCTTATTTTCCTTCTAAATGGTTAGAAATGCTAAATGTACGGACGAATTCTTAGACCGCTGATCACTCAAGACCGTCGAGGCCAATATAACTTGCGCATTGGAAGCTCCACAAGAGTCAGTCAAGCGAAGAGCCTAGTTCTCTAGTATAGACGTCGAGGACATAATCCTGGTTACGGAGTGCCTCAATAAAGATTCCTGACACAGGCAGGTTGCACGCGAGGATTGATTATGAGTCCCTAAGACCGCTTGTAATGGACGGTTGAGGATTACAGAATCTGCAGAGCCGTAATAGGGGACAAATTAGATGAGTGAACAGTGCAAAAGGTGTTGACAAGTTATGATCTGAGCCCATAGGGTAGTAAGCCGCTCGAGTGGAAGGACCTACAAATAAGAACCGCCCACGAAGTAATCGTTAGGCTATAAAAGGGGAAGAGCCCCAAAGGATGAGGGGGATCCTTTTATGTAACTACAATAGAGAAAAAAGATATACAATACACAATGAATGTAGCTATTGATTAACAGAGTGAACTACTATAAAACTTACATGTCTTTTATATTCATTCAAGCACCACTTCCGCACTACTAAAATTATCATACCACAAACAACACTTTAGCAGTATTACACCAAATATATAACGTTCTCATGCCGGTAACCCAACAGAGTACTAAGAGATCACCCGGCATAATTCTGTTAGTGAAATTCAACCGTCAACATAAATCATCTTCATAAGCATTTTGGCCCTATCATAAAAGTTTGGAGACACAACTGAAACTTATTTTTTCCCCAGATGAAAGAGAGTCTACTGAAGTATGACCAATGATCCAGTCATAGAATAAAAGCAGTTTTTGCAACCACAATCGAGAAGAAAAGACACTTAAGTGTGAATGGTGTTTTTTAATACAAAATGCGTGAATGGTGTGTGTGTGTGTTTTTTTTTCTTACTCTACATGTTGAAAATTACAAAAAAAAATTTGAAATATTTTAGAAAGTAAAATCATTGTAACAATTTTTAGGTAACTTTGTAACATAAAACGTGAATATTATTATAATTATTATCATGTAATTTTTTTTTTAAAATTCATTAAACACTGTTTCAATACAAACTCTTATAAGCATGTTATGTAGTGTATTTTTTTTAATATATAACTAACAAGAGTTGTAAGACTTTTTATATCACGGCTAAACTCGGGCTCGTATGTTTATAAGTAAACGACATTGCTCTTGGTACCGCACTCGTCGCTTGGGATTTGTAGATTAGAGCACGATGCCGCCCTCACCTCGAGGAGTCAATCTTGTCGGGGTGCTGGTGGAGCCACAAGTTGCATACATTTCTGCATATGATGTCGTCGCATGAGGCCTCGCGCATTAGCGCGTCCTACCATTGTAGCTTCATCACCGACTTGTGGTTGGATCTCCATTGACGATCTTCTCGAATTTTTTGTGGATTATTCTAATAAGAACCATTGTTTTGGTGTTTTTCATGATTTTTAAAAATATTTTTGGTGAGAAAAATTAAATGCATGGCAATCGACTACCAATCTACCGAAACTTTGGTATTATGGCGGACTACCTCCAGGTGCATTGGTAACGGCAGTCTCTTGTTGATGACTATGGTTGATGGCTGAATTCCATCAACAGAAATACGCCGGGTTACCCACTGGTATCCCCTTGGGTTACCGGCTGGAAAGTAACGGTATATTTAAAATTATGCTATAAAGTATTTGTTGTGTTTAGTAAGCATGAGTGTAGTGCTTGAATGATAAGACACACGAGATTTATAGTAGTTCACTCTGTTAATGAAGAGCTACATCCACTTGTGCATGATATATTTCTTTTGGACTTGTTACAATGCATGTATATTCTCTCTATCCTTCAATACTCGAGAAGTCCATCCTCCCTTGTGTATGGGGCGTTGCCCCTTTTATAGCTCAAGCTTCCTTCGTGGGTGGTTTTTCTCCATAGGTAGAAGTACTCGAGTGGCCTACCTTTCTAGGCTCAGACCATAGCCCACTAATCACCTTTTAGACTGTTCACTCAGCCAATTGGTCTCCTATTACGGCTCTATGGATTCCTGTAATCCTTCACTGCCCACTGTAGGGCGGTTTAGGGGTTTACAATTAATGCCCGTATTGCAGACGTATCCCTAGACGCAACTTGGGATGTCAGGCTCCTTTTTTAAGAGTGTTCCCCTCGCCGTTTGCACTGCATAGACCTTATGTCCACTGACAGTCGACCCTTTACAGGGGAAGTATTGCTTTAAGTTCAACGGCACAACTGGTCGACGCCCTAATTTGGGCCTTTCTTTACAGCGTCGAGGGGAAGCGAGCTTCAAGCGTCGAGGGTTGTCAACGTTTGAGGGAGAGTAGGGCCACGTGTCACACTGTCACCGTTCCACATGTCACCCGCATTTTCCCACACAACAGCTGCTCCCCAGGTCGAGGGTTTCCTTTAGATAGCCTCGAGCTAGGTTCGGGTGTCTTTCTGTGCCCCAGGTGTGGGAACCTAATTCCGAGCCTTCTTTCGTAATGATAGTCTTGACGCTTCAGCTTTCCTCGAGGAACGTAACCGTCGCGTCAGTCAGTTCACCAGGCTGACGTAAGGCTTTATTTTTGAAAAAGCGAAGATGAGCCCTTTGATAGTGCCCTCTCACTTCCCCGCCTTCGCTTGTTGCCGTTAGATCTGGGCAAGATGCCCTTGTCGTTAGATTTTACTAACTTAATCTGACAGCCAGGGGTTCCTTTAAATACTCCTCGAACCGAAGCCATTTTTTTTACCAAACTTCTTGAACTGCCGTTATTCTGCCTGAGTTCTTTCTCGTAGACTCCTACTCGCATCCCTTACTCTCCTCAGTGCTTTGTGAAGCTATCTTGGAACTCGTCTTTGCCCATATTTCAATTTATAGGTAAGCTTTAATGATTGCTCGTTCGTATTTTGTTTTAATGACTCAATGTCTTTCCTATTGAACCATATGCATGTTAATACGTAAAATGTAGGGGATAGAGACCTTACCCTATGCTTTGCCTGACCCACGCAGGATAGTTTTTTCTGATTTCTGGCTGATTGTGGTCTCTAACTCCTGGGTTCAAATAAACCTCGGTTGTTTATGAACATTCACCGTTTACCATTTTTGAATGAATGGTCGACGTTTATGTTTGAGAGGCGCTTAGTGGTAATTGAGCAGTGGTCGTTTTAGTAGGGTCGTCGTTTACTTCCTCTCGACTTAGGATTTTGACTTTAGCTCCTTGTTCTTTTGTCACGCCCCCCCCCCCCCCCCCCCCCCCCCCACCCCCCCCCCCCCCCCCCCCAAACGGGGTGGGTGACATGGAGCTCGATTAGGGATTAATAAAGCAGATTCCCAGACAAGCCCCACTCAACTGCATTAAAATATTATTACATTACTACGGAATCCCGGAGCCTCTGACACACAGGGCTCCACCCCACAGGACATACAGTATTGTACATACATGCTCATGTAAATAATCATTACAACAGACATCGACCACAGTCCAGTTAATCTAAATATGACATAAGTTTACAGAATTTCTCAAATTCCTTACATTTGTCTAAGAGGATGTCCACGATCCTCACTTGATTCCAACAGCAGCACAACTCAGCTACTCCGTAGCAATTATCCAGCTATTGTGCACCGCTCCTAGAGTCTCCTGGGAAGGGTTTAATACATTTGAAACATAAAACGTGAGCGAAAGGCCCAGTAGGATATAATTTGAAATAAACGTTATAAATAAATGAATAATAAGTGTGCAAGGAAATACATAAATGAATAAGTAAATAAAATAAGACATTCAGTCCCGACAGAACAGTTGGAACCTCACATCCTTTTTCTCAAAGGAAATATAACTGAAAATAACCATGTTACAGGCTTCAGCAAGTAATTAGTACAAATTACTTACCTAACCAAGTGCCTCGCCTACCCAGACCGAGTTTCAGGTTCTGCCCCCGAGGATGCACTCTCCGCATCCTATCTAGGCCTACAGCAATAGACTCTATTACCAGTTCACAAGATCTCTTTATTAAGAAATCATTCATTAACATTTTGAAATCGTTAATACGCCCCCACGAACTACTCAAGCCGTGGGCCCCATGACTGGATAAGCCATGAGGTTCCATGAGCAAGACAACACTTTAGGATCAATTCTCATTCCTAAAGCGATCCAAATCTCAATTATGTACCAAGATTTTCAATTAGTGTGCCCTAATCCATTTTCATGTTTCAAATTATCATTCCAAGGGTTTTCAATCTCAAATCAAGGATTAACAATGCTAATCCATTTATCTCAAGTCCCCAAATAAAGCTAATTTGGGTTCTCCCCGAAAACAGGGGTTAAAACAGCAATTTCAGGCCAATCAGGGTAAACCCCGTGTCAACCGGTCGACC